ACTAGATAATTAGGCTAGACTCGGAGAAAAATACCTGGAATATATATATATATATATATACATATAAGTGTTATAATTATTTTGGTTAGCTTAGTAAAGTTTGAACACAAGATTAGTATTTACTTTGATGTTGGATTGTTAACTATTAACTCATCTAGAGTTTGTTTAGAAAGTGCTATCGTCGTATATTTTTTTATCTTTTTATTTTTTTGAGTTATTTCACCTTTTTATTTCTTTGTACATTTTTTTTTTAATAAAAAGTCAAAAAGTATATTTATTTGGCACTTTCCAAACAAAAATGTAAGAGGTGATGTGACAAAAAATGAATTAAAAACTAAAAGTTGACTTTTAACGGGGTTTCCAAAACAACCCTAGTTTGTTTAAACTTGGTTAAGAGTCAATTTGACACTAGTTTTAATTGAGCTAAGCATAAATAGCTTGATTTTTTTGTAATACATATAAGCTTATATGACAATTAGTGTATATTCTCCCGGATTTATTACACTTTCTACATTTAAACTATCGTCAAAATTGTCTATTTAGTTTTTAAACTCTTGATTGAATCTATTTAATTCTTAAAGTATATAAATCAAAGTCTATTTTCCTAAACAATCGATTGAATTCATTAAATTCCTAAAATATTTAATTCAAACTTATTTAGTCCCTAAAAGGATTAGAAAAGTAAAGGATAAATTACAAATATACCCCTGAAATTTGATTAAAATACGAATCACCCGCTGTGATTTTCAAAATTACATTCTACTCCTTGATGTTTCTAATTTCATAACAAATCGCCATTTTTATTAATAAATCATCAATTCAATTAACAATTTTTAATGTTGTTAAAAATATGTTTCAATTAATAATTTAGGTAATTTTATTATTGTATAGGATAGCAATTATGAATTTCATTTTTTTATTTAATTCTGTTAAATAAAAAATTCTAATAAGGGGGTATTTGTAATATTTTAAACCACAGGGACAATCTGTATTTTAAACAAATCTTAGGGGGTGTATTTGTAATTTATCCCATAAAATAAAAGCTCATGAATATTATAAATTAGTAAAAGACCATATCTAGTTAAAATTTTATTTAAAAAAATAACCTTAAATTTTTATTCTGTCTTTCAAAAGTGGGTGTCAATCCATATATTGATTTTTTTTTTTTTTATAAGGATAAGAGTAATTATCTCTAGTATTTTTTTATTTGTCTTCTATAAGGGATAAGTACTTGCCTTTATCTAATTCTATTTTTTCAGTATATCTAATATCCATATAATTTATTGACAAGACTGAAAAATCACACTCTAACATTAATTTAAACACACAATGAAATAATATACTTTTAAAGACAAAATAAAAATTTAGAAGATTTTTTTGTAATAAAATTTTAATTGAGGAGGGTATTTTACTAATTTTTAATACATATGGGCATATATTTTATTTTTGTAATCCTTTTAGGGACTAAATAGGCTTGAATTAAATATTTAAGGATTTAATAGATTCAATCAATAGTTTAGAAATTAAATAAACTTTGATTTATAACTTTAGGAACTAAATAGATTCAATTGATAGTTCATTTATCAAATAGATAATTTGACGATAGTTTAGGAGAAAATGTAATAAACCCTATTCTCTACAATGAATTTCTCTATAATGATTTTGCTGTAGTAATCTAACGATTTATGTTTAAAATTAAAATAAGATTGTATCATTTAGATTCTGTGATTATAATATTATTTTATTGTAATTTTATCTCAAACTAGTCGATTATATATAACAAAAGAGTATAAAAAAGATTTATACAACAAAATCCATCGCAGAAAAGCTTTGACTCAAATAAAGGATCTCCATTAGTTGAGTTCACACCCTGTCGTGCTTGAATTTCCCACATTTTTCCTCAGGAAACAAAATTTCCTTTTTATAGAGAAAAAACCTACCCAAAGACCAACCAAACAGTCCTTTACATACGTAAATGAACAAAGGATAAATTATAAATACACCCCGAAATTTGATTAAAATACAAATCGCTCCCTATAATTTTGAAAATTATATTTCTCCTCTTGAGGTTTCCAATATCATAACAAATTGCCTCTTTTATTAATAAATCATTAAGTTAATTAACAATTTTTAATGATGTTAAAAATATGTTTCAATTAATAATTTAAGTAATTTTATTATTGTACAGGATAGCAATTATGACTTTTATTTTTTTAATTAATTCTATTGAATAAAAAATTCTAATAAAAAAATATTTACAATTGTTCAATTATAAGAAGTAATTTATATTTTAAACAAAATTCGGGTGTATTCATAATTTACCATAAAAAAAACAATGAGCTCTTATTCTGTTCACGTGTTGTCCTTTGATTCATGAGTCATGACTTATACCATACGCAAGCCATTACGATATCTGAATCGCCAACTTGTTTGGCAAGTTAGACTTTAGTTTATTTATTTATACTAAAATTTATAAAAAGATAAAATAAATTAAAATAATTAATAGGACAAAATGTCTCATCAAATTTATAATCATTTTATTTTTTCTTTCACAAATATCACATCAAATTGTAAAAACATCCAACTAAAATAGTCAAAACTAAATAACCTATTAAAATAGCAACTTTCTAAACACCCACTAAATCACTTGTACTATCTTGATGAATTTTTATCTCCAATTTTAGGATAAATTACACTGACACCTTCTTGAGATTTTTGTTTAATACAAATCTCTCTCACATTTGAAAAATTACATACTCTTTTCCCAAAATTTGTAATTTCATTATAAATTGTCTCATGAATTGCTGATATCATGCCCTAAATTTTTTAAAATAACCATCTTACCATTTTTTCTACCATTTATTCTCTATTATCATGACTACATTCTACAACTTTTCTTTTTTAAATTCTACTTGAATATATTCTTATTAGGTAATGATATACAAACATAAATCTTAAATAGAATTTTTGAACACAATGATATAGTTTAACGGTAACCTTTTATTTTAAAACAAAAAACCCGCAAAAATGATTTATATTTATAACAATATCAATATCACAATATTTTTATGATTTTTTTTTTGGTATAAATTTTTATATACGAATATAATTTTTCATTTTTAATTCCACCGTTATATCTAGATTAGATAAATATAATCTAGATATATTTAAAACCTATAAAATTTGTACAAAAAATCCATTGAATACAACAAAATAACATAATGTATTGATTTTTTTTTGGTTTTTTGTATCTGGTGAATTTAAAAAAAAAAATCATAAAATATTATACTTTTTAAGTATATCTAAATTAAGTGTATCTAAAAAATAAAAAAAAATTAGTAAAAATAAAAAAAACTCAAATTTTTTGTGTGAGTTAAACCAAATAAGATAATTATTATTTTCCTTGAAATAACATGAATAAAATATCTATATTATTTTATTATTTTATATGTATAAAGGTTAAGGAGCAAATATGTCATTTTATTATTTTATATGTATAAAGGTTAAGGAGCAAATATGTCATTTTAATTTGACATGGAGGTAAGTGTAATTTTTCAAATATGAGGGGATAATTCATATTAAACAGAAACTTCATGAGGTGTTAACCCAATTTTTTTTTTTTTTTTTTTTGAAAATGAGCTCTATGATATAGATTTAAAATTGGTAGGATATGGATTATAGTACAATTTCGAAATTTTGTAAGCTTATTAAGTGTCATGTTTTGATATTTTAAACTGTTCGATTTTTAAAGTACTTATTTATAGATTATACTTGAAAATAATCCTATTGATTGGATAACTGGCAAATATTTAGTTTTAGGCTCATTACAAGTTACACTTTCATAATTTGAACCATTTAATTTTTAAATATTTGTGTTTAAATTATTCTTTAAAATAAATTATATTGATTTGATAGCCACATAGTTTCATGTGTCTTTAAAAAAAATGGACAATATTCGGTGTGTTTGGTTTTAATTTTTTAGATTAAATATTTTGAAAATTGAATTTTTTTATTTTTAGTAATTTTTTTTTAAAATTTTAAGCAATTTTTTTTTTTACTTTTTTAGATGCACCTTACTTAGATGAATCTAAAAAGTAAAATATTTGTAAAAATCAATAAATACACAAGAATAGGAAAATGTATTGAATTCTAGTATTTTTTTTAATTTTATATTTTTAGTATTTAGTGAACTTTTTAAATTTTTTTTTCACAAATATTATACTTTTTAAGTGTATTTATGTTAGGTGTATCTAAAAATTTTAAAAAATTACTTAAAATAAAAAAAAAAACAAAAATAGTGAAACAAAAAAATATGAAAAACAAAAAAACTTAATTTTCTAAGAAGTGAATTTTGAAAATAAAAACCAAACAAGCTGATTGTTTTCTGAAAATTTGTATGTATAGGTAATATCCTATTTATTTTTTTAAAATTTTATTTCTTGTCTTTGGACATTTGGGTTTTTATTTTTTATTTTTTTTATTTTTAATAATCGTATCGGATCAACTTACACATATCTCGATTAATTCTAAAAAACTAATCCAATCACTCACTAATGACCTCACTAATCCCAGAAACTAATCCCACCACGAACCTATGGAGATTTCATTTAAAGCTAAAGTAAGGCCAAGTTTGGGAAGACTAAATAAGTGTATTTTTTGACTTTTTATGAAATATGGATTGGATTTGAGTTGGGTTTGAAGTGATGTGTTAGAGAGGGTTAAATAAGATGATGTGACTTAAATAGGATAGTAACTTTTTGACTTTTTAAATTTTTTTGGAGGATGCCAAACTTGGCCTAAATGTTTTATATGGGCACGGCCCAAAAACATTAATTACTGCTAATGAATATTAAACGTGAGAGTTAAAATAATACATCTAGTTCCCAAATTTGGCTTACTGGGCGAACTGGAAGTTGGACTCTTGGGCATTCTGAAGGGAGACTTCTCTGTCGCTTACTTTTCTTGTTACACTTGCCTATAAATACCGTTCTCATATGTCCAGTTGTATCTCACTTCATTGTTAGAGAATCATCACTACATATATATATTGATAGAATCATATCTTGAGAGAGAGAAAGAAAGAAGAATGGGGTTGACGAGTTTGAAACAACAACTTTTGTCCAAGATAGCAACCAATGATGAACATGGTGAAAATACTCCATACTTTGATGGTTGGAAGGCATATGATAATGATCCTTTTCACCTCACCAAAAACCCTAATGGTGTCATCCAAATGGGTCTTGCTGAAAACCAGGTTTTACGAACTTCCATGTCTCTCACACTCCCAATGCCACTGACCCAGCATCCGTGCTCAGAAAAATGTTTAGTAAAATCAACGTGCTAATACATTCACTCAAATAGCAATAATTTTTTGTGCACGGATTCTGGGTAAGAGAGAAAATGGGATTCGAACCATGATTTCATTCTCAAATGTTAATTATTTTTTGTGGTTTTGTTTGCAGCTATGTTTTGACCTAATTAAGGAGTGGATTGAGAAAAACCCAACAGCATCCATTTGCACAGCTGAAGGATCAATGGCTTTCAAGGACATAGCCAACTTTCAGGACTATCATGGCCTGCTGGAGTTTAGAACTGTACGACTACTTGATCCATATGTTTTCTGTGCCTGATTATGTATTTAATTTATGTACTTCTAATGTTGTTGTTCAATGACTAATTTTCTCATTAATCTTTACCGCAATTCTACACCCACAGAAATCGGTCACAGTGTTATAATAAGTATTATTTGATCGATTCTTATACACTAATTATTGTTTTTGTTTTTTTTAACTTAGAACTTTTAGATGCGATAATGGTGGTGTTTCTAACGATGATGTGTATTTTTTTAGGCCGTCGCGAAGTTTATGGGGAGAGTAAGAGGTGGTAGGGTTAAGTTTGATCCGAACAGGATAGTAATGAGCGGAGGAGCCACCGGAGCTAATGAGACAATCATGTTTTGTTTGGCCGATCGCGGTGATGCATTTCTAGTTCCATCACCTTATTATCCAGCGTACGTACTCATCTTTTATACAAATAAATCACATAAACAAACTATTACTAATAAAATATATATATATATATATATATATAATAATTCATATAGAATGATATAACTGTATTGAGATTTAAAAAATATATTTGTTATTTAAAACTTCAAAAAATATGAGCTTTCTTCGTCAATATTCTATATTTGGAATTCCACCCAGTAATGTCTCAATCAAAATGGAATTAAAGAATTTTTGGCCATTCAATAGTTTTGGTCCACCACGTCTCTTTCTTAAATTGTATCAAAACAAATTTCTTCATCTTAACATATTTTTATAAATATTTTTACAATTAGGAAGAATTTAAATAATAACAATAATAATAATAATAAGACACAAATTCAGACATTAGGTTGAGTAAAAAAGCCTCGTTTAGCGGGTCAATCTCTTGTTAAATATAACTAATGTTATAGGAAAATGTTTGAGTGTGTAAGGTATATATCATATGTACTTGCGTTACCTTATAAAATCACGTAAATTTTTACAAATATACGTAAGTTATGATTTCTTAAATTTTTATAGATTAACTAACGTATGTTTATGAAAATTTTGCAAGATAACTTGCTTATATTTGTAAGAACTTATGTAAACACATATAGTATATGCTTACACACTCAAGAAAGAATTATCCAATGTTAAATAACCAAAAAGTAAAAGTAAATATAGAATGACATGATTGAGTTTCCCTTTGTTTTAGGTTTTATTATTTCAAAACAAACAAGATGAAATTTTTTTATAAATTTAAGAGTTAATTACATCAAAACTTCATTAGTTATTAGCGAATCTTACTTTTTGGGTGTATAAATAATTTTTTTTTTGGGTGAATTACTTTTATTTCGTCATCTATCAACTAGTTCATTTTGATCCCTTCAGCTATAAAAATATATTATTTTCCCCATTTCCAAACCACCTCCAAAATTTAATAAGAATCAGAAGAATTCTGGTCAAATATTAATACAAAGAACTTTTGACACAGGCTAATTTTCTTCTCATTTTTTCCTTTATAGCCATTAAGTTATTACGTGTTGACAATAGACCTCTCATTGAATTTGGACCACCAAAAAGTTCATACCAACTACAACACACAGTTGGGTTTTTATTTACTTGTGCAAATTGTCCAAGTCTCAAGCTGACTTTTGGTCTTAACAAAGAATTTAGGTCCATCATATTTAGTAACACACTAGAAAATACGTATGGTATGGAGTCCATTTTTTGCAGTTCTGAACTATTATGTCATTAATTATTTCAATCAATTACTGTCGATCAATTTAGTAAAGCGGGAATTCAAAGTCTTATGTGATTGAAATCTGCCTTCTCTGGAACTGCAAAGTTGGGATCTTGAACTCACTTTTAAGATTGAGTTGACTAATTTTGATTGGACGAGATCACTAATGACGTTGAGATCATTAAATATGAGTAATGATATTAAAAATATACAATTCATACAGAATTTCTTTTCGCTCTAAAATAAAACACCATAAAAATGATTTTACTTATAAAAATAACTTTGCCATATCATTTTTATAGTATTTTATACATAAATAGATTTTTGCATAAAACATCTTCTCATTTATGTGACGTTGACAAAATAATCATGTATTATGTTGAATGATATGAGAGAAAAAAAAATTAATTTTTAAAATTTGAAAAATATTATTCATAAAGAATCTTTATACAATTTGTAGCAGTGGTATTTTTGAAATTAAATGTCATTTTTTATTTATTTATGGGTACTCTTGTGTGAAAATAATAAGTTTTAATGCAATCGTCTCATTTTTAATTTTTTTTTTTTACTTTTCACTTATACCTTATGCATTTGGAATATTCAGATTTGTTCGGGATTTGAGATGGCGAACCGGTGTTCAAATAATACCAGTTACCTGTGAGAGCTCAAACAATTTTCAAATCACCATAGAAGCCCTAGAAGAAGCATACAACAAAGCAATAGAGGCCAACATTAGAGTGAAAGGCTTGATCATAACCAACCCATCAAACCCATTAGGCACCATTTTAGACAAAGACACTCTCAAAAGCTTGGTGAATTTCATCAATGAAAGAAACATCCACCTTGTATGCGATGAAATCTATGCTGCCACCATTTTCAGGCCTCCCCACTTCACTAGCATTTCTGAGGTCATTCAAGACATGGATAGTAACGATGATCTCATTCACATCGTTTACAGTTTGTCGAAAGACATGGGTTTTCCTGGCTTTAGGGTTGGTATTGTTTACTCATACAACGATGAAGTTGTGAGTTGTGCTCGAAAGATGTCGAGTTTTGGATTAGTCTCTTCCCAAACTCAATACTTACTCGCTGCAATGCTTTCTGACGATGATTTCGTGCGGAGGTTTCTTGATGAGAGCTCGAGGAGGCTAGAGTGCAGGCACAAAATTTTCACAGAAGGATTGAAAGAGGTAAAATGTTAGCATATCTCGTATGTTGGTTAGTTTAATTTCTTGTGAAATTAGCATTGATTCTATTACAATTGCAATTTTTTAGAAAGCATTTTCGAGAATGAAATTTATATATAAAAAAAAAAATCGATTGCATAGCTGAATGGGAAATAAGTTCCGATGTTTATTTGAAAGTATTAATAACAAACTTAAAACATGAGGGTAATTTTAAAAGTTCACATGTCTACATGTTTTTTTTTTTGAAACAATAATGTCAATATATATATATATATTTTTTTTGTGATTTGAGAAGTTTAAATTATTATATTTTTTTTATTGATAAAGGGTGAATTTTTTAACAAAATACAATTTGTAAAATTTAAGAATTTGAATGTTTATCATAATAAAAATGTTTGGAAACGCCACTGCAGATGGGGATCGATTGTTTGAATAGCAATGCTGGACTTTTCTGCTGGATGGATTTGCGCTCATTGCTCAAAGAACCAACTATTGATGCTGAAATGGCGCTATGGCGTGTGATAATCAACGATGTGAAACTCAATGTCTCTCCGGGATCATCTTTTTATTGCACGGAGGCTGGTTGGTTTAGGGTTTGCTTTGCTAACATGGATGATGATACAGTTGAAATTGCATTGCAGAGAATTCGAAAATTTGTGACTAAGAAGGAAGGAGAGGTAGCTACAGTGAAGAAGAAGAGGTGCCCAACGAATCTTCGACTGAGTTTCTCGTCTCGGATATACGACGACGGTCTCAGGTCGCCGCATATGTCATCTCCTCACTCTCCTCATCCTCACTCGCCTCTAGTTCGAGCCAAGAATTAATCGGTTTAGAAGACTATTATGTATCATTAGTATATAAAAAATTTATAACGTCAAAAAAAGTAAATTCTAAAATTTTCAAAAAATAAAATATACAATGTGAGTCACAATTAAAATGAATCACGTCCACACACTTTATTTTTTGATTATTTTTTGAATAAATTTTTTCTGACTATGTAATATTATTATTAGAATATTTCACCAGAACTTCACCTTCAACGTGATTTTCAGAAAGTGAAATATATGAGGTGATAAATATATCATTTCTCATTTTATGCACCATTAATTTGTACCAAGAAGAGGTAGATTTATTCTTTCCATTGGAAATAATTACTACCAATAATTTAGGCAAGAGAATGTTTTAACAATATGTAATTTATTTGGGTGTAATGTGTAAAACATTGTTTGAAGTATCAATTCCATTAAATAATATTGAAGTCATGTAGCAAATCTCTTCTTATTCTCTCTCTCTCTTAAATGTCTCTTGAATTTATCTTGATATTGATGTTGAATGAATGAATTGAAAAGTAATATCCAAATATTATGATCAATTGTTTCATCTTACTAAAATTGCTGAATTACTTCAAATAATTATATGGAAACTCATGCTTTTAATTCTTTGAAGCACCTTGCTTTTCTCATCACCATTTCTCAATCAAAATTTTGTATCTAATTTTATTTTTTAATCCAATTTTTTAGTGCTATTTTTTGAATAATGTCACAAATTATTTCAGGCCTCGTTTGGCAAGAATTTGTCATTTATGCACCATTAATTTGTACTAAGAAGACAGGTAGATTTATTCTTTCCATTGGAAATAATTACTACCAATAATTTAGGCAAGAGAATGTTTTAACAATATGTAATTTATTTGGGTGTAATGTGTAAAACATTGTTTGAAGTATCAATTCCATTAAATAATATTGAAGTCATGTAGCAAATCTCTTCTTATTCTCTCTCTCTCTCTCTCTCTCTCTCTCTCTCTCTCTCTCTCTTAAATGTCTCTTGAATTTATCTTGATATGAATGAATGAATTGAAAAGTAATATCCAAATATTATGATCAATTGTTTCATCTTACTAAAATTGCTGAATTACTTCAAATAATTATATGGAAACTCATGCTTTTAATTCTTTGAAGCACCTTACTTTTCTCAATCAAAATTTTGTATCTAATTTTATTTTTTAATCCAATTTTTTAGTGCTATTTTTTGAATAATGTCACAAATTATTTCAGGCCTCGTTTGGCAAGATAGCCAATTAGCCAAAAAGTTATTAAATTAGTCAAAAAGCCAACAACCCATCTCTACTTTTTGCACATCTTTTCGTAATTAGCCAAAAAGTCATCTCAAACATACAAGTTTTTTTTACCTATCTTTTTAGCCAAATAGTCAAAAAGTTACTAAATTAGCCTGTTCCCAAACGAGGCCTCAATACTAAAAACTGACACAAGGACGGTGGACACGGTCAAGACTATCTTTGGAGGAGTTTTCTTGACTTTAATCGTCTGACAAAGAACGAGAGTTTGAAATACAGAAACAAAAGGGAAATGACATAGAAGATCCAATCTCATGTAAAACTTGGGGGCACTAACAGTGTCCAGGAGTGTTGTTGCCATGGGCCAGATTGTAGTTTCGGTTAGATATTTCTTCCACAAGGTCCAGCCCGAGCCATTGGTGGGCTCAAAATTCAACTTGGGCTTGGTTCTTTATTCAACAAGGGTGAAAAGAATTGTATTATAATTTCATATCATGTCAAAATATTTAGACACTTCCAATTCAAAACTAATTGACATTAAATGAAAAGGACTCCTAAAGTGTGTGAAAGTATGAGAACAAAACATATAATTTGATTGGTCCACAACTATGAGTCCCATAATCATAAAGTGTATCAATCCCAATTAAAATTATACACTGTCATTGACATTCTATAGATTTTTGTAACACTTTTAAATTCACCTATTAAATCCATCATTTACACTAAACCGATAAAACTAAACAATAGTATGCGATCAGTTTCGATTCCTCAATTTGGCACAAAATTTTCTCGCAATGCCAATCAAAGCAAACCGTTTACACTCCTGCTCAGCATACATGGCTTTACAATTGACACTTGAGATGGTGGATCAAGAAGAACAAACCATCATTTTTCACATTACAAACTTGAAAAACAGATAACAGAGAGGAACTAATACCCGTGCACTAGGATTCACTTCAAAAAATCTAGGGGAGATGATTTAGTTCCGTCTTCTTCTTCTTAAATCCATCGGTTGCTCTTCACCAGATTCTTTTTCTGTAGGCTCTTCTTTGTTTTTCGATTATTGTTTGTATTATTCTTATCTATCTTTAGAGTGATCTCTGCTTGGAAAAGTTTCTTCTAGTCTTCCACTACTTTTTCAGGATCACAAACTTCCTCCTGCTTCTACTTCATTGTTGTGATCAGAGACAATTTCAGCATAATAAACTCCTACAGAGTCACAGAACGAAAAAGTGTTGGATGACAATAATTTGAAGAATATAAGATTTTTAGTATAATTAAGAATAATGGTTTAAATAAAATTTTATTTATGTAATGGTTTATCAACTAGACTATGATATGATTTGAGTATTGATTATTAAGATATTAACTTCAGATTGTGATTCCCCAGTTTCTTCCTAAAACTTCTTATTCTATTCTTTTGGTGCTACATCATAAATGCTTCAGTGAGACTAGTTTTTTCATATGAAAAGAAGTTTTTCAAAGAAAGATGAAGAAAAGAAAAAGAAGAATGTTAGCCTCGATATACCTGAATAGGTCCTAAGTTTCTTCAGGAGCTCTGAGGTGGGTGCAACAGGTTTATCGAATACCAAGCGAAACATCTGCAAGAACAAATTGAAAATAACCTCAGCTGTAAGTTAGAATTGGCCAAGCTTTTAAATGCCAATTGTGGTAGAGACAATGGGAAATGAAATCGTAAATTAAAAACTGATAAAACAACATGGATGTTCAGAACCCACAAAAAGGATTTAAATGTAGAAATAAAACTGAATGTTAAAGAGAGTGAGGGAACCAGACCTTAATTGCAGTCGGATCTTTCAAAAACCTGAGCATGGAACAGTAGTATGTTAGAGAGAGAGAGAGAGAGAGAGAGAGTAAGGCTGTTTGGTTGTGTTTTTGTTTTCTGTTTTTCATATTTTTGGAAACAAAACAATGAAAAGTTCGAAAAAATTCATAGTTCACATATCATTTTCAATTTTTTTTTCCTTCCCGAAAACAACTTTTTGGAGTTTCCTAAATAGTGGGTTGTTTTTAGAAACAATTCACCGTTTGAGTTTTCTAAAAAAGAAAACAAAAAACAAAAACCCAACCAAACAGGCAAGTATTGACATGGAGAAAAGACATTCATCACATGGATCGAAACCATAACCCTATGATTCTAGATGGAATTTGATGTTGCAGTGAATCATTAATGTAGTAGAAGATTTCAAGGCATAACCAAGAAAGACCAAAATTAAAACAGCTAGACTTGAGTTAGAAAAATTACTCGGTTGAAATTATCTCAGCTAAGGTCTTTGCAGCTAATGGAAGACCACCACACTATCTACCATGTCATCTTTCATTTTTCGTAATATCTGGTGATACAAATACTTCTTTCTAATTGAATCTAGAATTATGCGCCAACACGACTCTCTATCCAATATGGGCTCAAGTTCATACAAGTTGAGCTCACCCACCATCTCACTTGCCACTTCTTTCAGTCTACTAGTGATGATGATGGCACCCCCACTTCCCCTCGGAAATCCATTCCAGAGTGGAGTTACATACTTGTTGAAATCCAAATCATCACTCAAAGCAGGCCACATGTTGTCCAACTTGATCAAATGCTTCTTATTAAACAGGTAAATGTCCAAATTACGCAAAAGATCATCAAGATCAGAAGTGTTGCCAAATGAAGAGAAATCACTTGCCAAGCATTCGAGAATAGCCAAGACAATGGATCTTAGATCTGGATATTGAGGTAACTCAACCCATGACAATGGGGAGAAACTTTCTTGGACTCTAGAGCCATGGAACACCATTTGAGCAAGAGTAGTTTTACCTGATCCTCCCATACCTACAATACCAATTGCACTGAAATTATCATTATCAGATGTAGTAGTTAGGAGCAAAGCTTCCATCTTCTGCAAATGATTATTGAAACCATGAATCAGAGTGAGATTGAAATCTGGAAAGTCTGTTGGTCGACAAACCCTGATCAAGCTCGAGGACAAAAGCCTCTCATCTGCAATGTCTGCAACGTCAACGTCGCTCATGTTTTGCAGCAACTCGTTTTTGATGCGGAGAAGTTTCCTCTTCATCTTGAAAAGAGACCATTGCTTCTTGACATAATGATGAGAGCTTAATAAGAGACTTTTCTTGTTTTTGGTAATGCGGTCTCTCTCCTTCTCTGCTAACATGACACAATCAGCCAATGCGAACTTGAGGTCATACAGAGGATCTTTCAGTCCTATGGGTGTCCAGAGGTCAATCCTCTTTTGATGCAAGAACTCTGAAATCTCAACAAAATGAAGCCACAGGGGGAATTCTACGAATTCTTCCCCCTCTGCTTCTTCAAAGTCACTGATGAATTTGTTCTTCAGAAACTGTAAATGATCAGCATCCATTTCAAATGTAGTTCTCAAAACAAATTCCCTTTCCTTTATGGAAAACCTTTCTGTTAACAGCAGCTGCAATTAGTCTCAAGTCAAGCAATAGAAGACAAAACAAACAGAGAAATGGAAAGAATCAAAGAAAATACCTTTGAAAGACGGAGTAGTTTCCTGGAAGATTCAAAGAAATTTTCTATGAAATACTGAATAGTTTCCTGATAGATCTCTTTGCACAGATGCCAGAAGATGTTCTACAATTTCCCAACACTTGATTTCCATTAACCTGAAAAAAAGGCCAACTTCTGGAAGTGGTGTTAGACTAAGCCTTATTACTCATGGATTTTTCTTGTTGACTTGAAAACAACCTCCGCTGCCTATAACTTAGGGGTAAAAAAAAGGTGTTTAGAAAAAAGGTATAACAAAAAAAAAAAGCATTTTCATTTGACATTTGACATTTTACAATAAAAATAAAAATAAAAACAAAAATATTTGCACTATTATAATAGAATTGTCAAATAATAACATTTTAATATAATTTGACTTTTGACTTTTATTTTGACATTAAACACATGAGATGCTCTAAGGTCAGTTGGCAACGACGAAGAAGATAATGTGCTATCAGTTTCTCTTCAACACCTCTAAGGCCTTAAAAAAACAGCTGATTTAGTTCTATCTTCTTCTTTTAAATCCATGGTTTGCTCTTCCCCTGATTCCTTTTCCATAGGCTCCATAACTTTCTTCTTCCATCACTGTTTCTGCAATGGCTCAATACCATTGATCTTGATCTCTCCCAGGGAAAATTTCCTCAAGGCGTTCACTACATCTTGAGGATTGAAATTTCCTCCTGCTTCTACTTTGTTGTCGTGATCACGGGCAATTTTGGCATAATAAACTTCTGCGATGTCGAACACGGATAAAAGTTCAGTGGGACTAGCACCTTCATATGAAAAGCAGTTGAAAATTGAAATGCAATTTCAAGAAAGACAAAAGAAAAAAGGTTAGCATTGATACCTGGACAGGACCTAATTTCCTTTAGGACCTCTGAGGTAGGTGCAACAGATTTTTCGAATTCCAAGTGAAATTCCTGGCAGAACAAATAGAAAAATGTTGGCAATTTTTAATAAAAAAGACAAAATTCTGTTGGGCTGTTACAAATTAGGTTTTAAATAAATTAGTTAGCTATATTAATTCAGTTATTACCTCTATTTATTTTCCCTTCAGTTTCAGGCATTGTAACAAAAGTAATTCAGCCACATTTAATTTTATAATCATTTAAATATTTTACCATTACAATATTTATTAGTGACTTTTAGTTTAAAAACCCCAATATATATATATATATACACGTCTGCATGTTGTTCTATGTCGGAAGAGATGTAGACATACACAGAAAAAGTTAGGAAGACACAAAATATAATCTACTTTCCATGTTTTAAGGGTAATTTTGGTTTGTGACTTGTTCATATCCTTTTGGTGGACACAAACATTAGGCAAGGAAGGCTATGAGCAAACTGTGCTGAATCTTGAAGCTGTTGCACTTTATTTGAACCTTCACAGCAAGAGGAACAACAACTTTAAGACAGTGACTACATACCTGTCAATCGATCACACGTCAAATTACGGCAATATAATTATTTGTTCTAAAACTTCATGCTAACTATTTTATAGATTTGGTTATATGATATGTACTATTCAATCTAGCTTTGTTTATCCAGTTTTTGAAATTTTATTTTAGTAATCTTGAAGCTGTTGCACTTTATTTGAACCTTCACAGCAAGAGGAACAACAACTTTAAGACAGTGACTACATACCTGTCAATCGATCACACGTCAAATTACGGCAATATAATTATTTGTTCTAAAACTTCATGCTAACTATTTTATAGATTTGGTTATATGATGTTTGTTGTATATGTACTATTCAATCTAGCTTTGTTTATCCAGTTTTCTGAAATTTTATTTTAGTTGTTCTAACAAAAACAACCTAAGGTATAAGTTAGAATTGGCCAAACTTTTAAATTCCAATCCAATGAGACAATGGAAATGGCAACCCAGGGTGCTGATGAAACATGTATGTTCAGAACCCAGAAGAAGGATTTAGATTTGGAAAGGAAACTAATCAATATTGAAAAAAGTGAGGGAATCAAACCTTAATTGCACTTGGATCTGTCAAAAACCTGGCAATGTAACCACAGTATATGTTAGAGAGAGAGACAGAGAGAGATTTAATTTAAGTACTCACATATGGAGCAAAGACAAGGTCAAAAAAAAAAAAAAAAAAAAAATATGGAGCAAAGACATTCAACATATAGATTGAAATCATAAATTATAATTCTAAGATTGGAATTTGATAATTGATTTTGCACTGAATTGTTAACCTCCGAAAAGATTTCCAAGAAAGACAAAAATTTAAATAATAAAAGGTATATTTAGGTAAGAAACTTTAACTGATGTGAAATTATGTCCGCCAAGGTCTTTGCAGCTAATGGAAGACCACCACACCTGTCTACCATGTCATCTTTAATTTTTTCTAATATCCAGTGATCTGAAATCCCCTTTTCAATTGAATCTATAACTATGGACCAACATGACTCTGTGTCCAATGTGGGCTCGAGGGGATACAAATTCCGCTTACCGACCATCTTACTTGCCACTGCATTGAGTCTACTAGTGACGATGATGGCACCCCCACTTCCCCTTGGCAAACCATGTGAGAGACGAGTGTAGTTTTCGTTGCCTTCCATCTGCAGCTTGGAGTTAGAATCCAAATCAAAGTACCAATTACTCGCATGCCACACGTTGTCCAACACAATCAAATACTTGTTGTTAAGCAAACGACAGTGCAGGTTGTGCAAAAGCTCATTGAGATCAAAAGCACTGCCACACCAAGAAAAATCACTTGCCAAGCTTTTGAGAATGGCGAAAACAACTAAGTTGGGTTTAATCAGAGATTGAGGTAATTCAACCCATAAGATTGGGGAGAAACTGCCTTGGACTTGAGGGCTATTGAACACCATTTAGGCAAGAGTAGTTTTACCTGAACCGCCCATCCCTACAATGCCAATCGTGCTGATACTATCAGTATCAGGCGTCTTGAGGAGCAAATCTTTGATCTTTTCGAAATGGTGTTCGAACCCACGAATCGAAGTCTCGTCGAATTCTGGAAAGTCCCCTCGTTGACGAACCCTAACCTACGAGACTTTTCTTGGTCTGGGTAATGCGCTCCTTCTCCTTGCCTGCCATGACGCACTCAGCCAATACAAACTTGAGATCGTACACCAAATTTTTCATTCTTATGGGTGTTGAGGAGCTGATCCTCATTTTCTGCAAGTTCTCTAAAATCTCATGAAAACGAGAACCGAAGGGAAAATCATTGGATTCTGCCACTGCTTCTTCATAGTCACTGATGAATTTGTTTTTCAGGAACAGTAAATAATCAGCTGCCATTTCAGATCATTTATACAAGTTCCAGCAACAATTTCTTTCCCTCCCTCTTCTTCAAAGGGAAATGTTTGGACCCTTTTGGGAAGACCCCCAACGCCCACAAATTAGCTGTGTGTTTTGAAAAGGCGGTAACGAGTTAATTTTTTAATTTTTTTAATTGGAAAATACGTGGTAGCTCGAGACTACAACGGTTCGAACGGCTCGACGGTCCAAAACGACGTTGTTTTGGGCTGTTTTTTTTTTTTTTTCGTCATGCTGGTCTGAAACCAGAGGGAGAGGGAGAGGGAGAGAGAGAGAGAGGAGGCAGGTCGTCCGTCGTAGCCCTCCGCCGTCGCTTCTGCCCGATCGTCGCAGCCCCGCATCGGCCGATCGTCGTCGCAGCCTCCGCACCTCCGCCCCTCCTCCGCCTCCACCCCGATCTGTTGGCCCCCTCCAGTCCCTCCTCCTCCTCCGCCCTCCTCCCTCTCCCTCCTCTTCCTTCTCTCTCACTTTTTCGAGCCAATTTCAAGCCGAAACTCTCGAGCTACCAATCGCTACCGTTTTTAATTTATCGGTGACTTTTTTTTTGACTAAGCCTCCGTTTGGGAAGTGGGTTGGCTTTTTGATTTTTTGATTTTTTGACTATTTTATCCTGGGTTATTTTAGCCTAGTTTGGGAAGGATTTTTTGACTTTTTGGCTTTTTTGACTTTTTTTGTGAGAGAGGATTGTAATGATTATGGGTTGGATTTGATGTTTTGTTTTTTGTGGCTAAAATAGCCTATTTTATTTTTTGTGGCTATTTTAGCCAAAAAAGCCTGGCTTTTTTCTTTCCAAATGGAGCCTAAAGTTAATTTGTTTTTGATTTTTTTATGATTTTTTTTGTGTAAAAAAATTAAAAAGTCAAAAAAAAAATTGATTTTTTTAACAACTTTTCAAAAGACTACTTTAATTCTGGCCCTCTATGTATTTGTAAGTCCACTTATGTATGTGTAGAATTTACATCATGAGTAGTTTAGATTTATGAAGATTTTGTGAAGGTGGGCTCTTAATCATTACTCTTATTTATACAACAACTTCGTGTTGAAAGTAGCCACTAATTATATTTATTTTAAGGCCGGACTTCCCTCTAGTTCGATCTAGGACTAGAGAGTGTTGTTGGGCCCGCGGTGGCCCACCACAGGTCTTGATTTGATAATCTGAATCGTCAATATGTAGAACTTGTCGAGTGCTATATACTCGTAAATAATCACGTTGATCGGATATTGATAGTTACGTGATCAAATCAATTTTGTATAAAAAAATAGACCGTGAAAAAATTAACAGCTAATAGAAAACTGATACGATGAGATATGTATCGATATCCGATCAACGTGATTTTTTTATAGATATATAGTATTTGATGAGTTCTACACATTATACGGTTCAAATTATCGAAACGAGATTTGTAATAAGCCCTTACAGGCCTAACAGAACCCTCTAATTCGATTTAAGACTGGAGGGAAGCCACCGCCGGACCTCTACCTATTCCATCTCTAAACAGTATTTTCGCTACATATAGATTTCCATCTCTAAACAGTACACTTGCTGCACATGCTCAGGCCGGACTTCCCTCTAGTTCGATCTAGGACTAGAGAGTGTTGTTGGGCCCGCGGTGGCCCACCACAGGTCTTGATTTGATAATCTGAATCGTCAATATGTAGAACTTGTCGAGTGCTATATACTCGTAAATAATCACGTTGATCGGATATTGATAGTTACGTGATCAAATCAATTTTGTATAAAAAAATAGACCGTGAAAAAATTAACAGCTAATAGAAAACTGATACGATGAGATATGTATCGATATCCGATCAACGTGATTTTTTTATAGATATATAGTATTTGATGAGTTCTACACATTATACGGTTCAAATTATCGAAACGAGATTTGTAATAAGCCCTTACAGGCCTAACAGTACCCTCTAATTCGATTTAAGACTGGAGGGAAGCCACTGCCTTATTTTAACCTCAAGGCAAGCAATTAAAGATGAAAAGATCAGAAATCGTACAATCCAAAAAAAGTGGATAGTTTCTTGATTAGGAATGCCATTTTAATCCGATCTACGGAAGTCCGTCCATAGCCTCTTGAATGGGGTAGATTTAACCCACCAGATACTTATATAAGGTGGATTTTATCCGCCCTAACACTTATGTGAGGCGCAGATAGATTATGTTTTGGTCACCTGCAACGGGGGTGGATACCACCTCTTCCAATCTAAACCAGATCCGATATAATCAATAATATATAAATAAATAAATATGTATATATATATATATATAATTAGATATAAAAATAGGGATATTTACCAATAAATCCCATCTCACAAATAAGTACTCTAATTAGTTCCAAGTTTTTCCTATTGATCTGTTAAGTCCTATTAGTGGAGAGTTTTTTTTTTTTTTTTTTTTTTTTTTTTTTTTTTTTTTTTTTCTGTGTGGTCCTATTTTTGATTTTGGTAGTGTTTTGATAGATAGTTATACCATTTTATTAATGTGACAAGTATGATGTGATACTCCAATGTGACACTCCAACGATGTGACACTCCAAAAAAAATTAAAAATTCTTTAGTGTACTTTTTCTAAATGTGACAACGTGACAAGTATGATGTGACACTTCAAAAAAAAAAAATTTCTTAGTGTATTTTTCTTAAACGTGACAACGTAGTGGATATAATATGACACTCTAAAAAAAATATACTCTAATGTAGCAGGTATTAATACGGCACTCCAAAAAAATTAAACACTCCTTAGTATATTTTTCCTAAATGTGACAACGTGGCGGGTATGATGTGATATTCTAAAAAAATAAAACTCTTTATTTAGTGTACTTTTTCCTAATGTGATAACAAGGCGGGTATGATGTGACACTTCAAAAAAAAAACTCGTTAGTGTATTTTTTCCTAATGTGACAACGTGGCAGGTATGATGTGACACTTTAAAAAAAATAAATACTCCTTAATGTACTTTTATCAAACGTGACAACATGGCGGGTATGATGTGTCACTCTAAAAAAAAAAAAAACTCATTAATGTACTTTTCTCAAATGTGAACGTAGCGGGTATAATGTGACACTTCAAAAAAAATAAAACTTCGTAGTGCACTTTTCTCAAACATGACAACATGTCAGGTATGATGTGACATTTTAAAAAAATTAAAAACTCATTAGTATACTTTTTTTAAACGAGATATGTGACACTCCAACATGGCAGATATGATGTGACACTTTAAAAAAATTAAAAGCTTTTTAGTTTATTTTTCCCAAATGTGACACTCTAACGTGATGGGTCGGGTAATGAGTGGAGAGAGTGGTATGTATGTCACGTGCAATGCATCAACGCACAAACAAAAAGTATAAAAAGCCTTAGTATACTTTTGTGTTGTGTATCACCTAACCATGCGCATAACATGGCAAGTTTTAAACATACATCAAATAAAAACCTTACATAAAATAGTCCATGATTAACCTAATGGCGCTTGTGTCTTTTTCACAATAGAGAGGACCAAATGACTCACAAGAAAAGAACTGGGACTAAATGAAACACAAGATCAAAATTTAGGATTTATGGATAACTTCCCCAAAAAAATAATATCAAAAGTCTTTAATTTTGTTTAAATATAAATAAATAATAATCGTAAAATTCTCATTGTTTTTTTTGGATAAATAAAAGTCTCACTATTTATATATATAGAAAGAAAGAAAATTATTTAGTGTGCTAAGATTTTAAATGATTCTCAATTTTTTTGAAATGTAGTCCGATATGTGCGGGTATTGGGCATCTGCGGAGTGGAGGTGAGGTTGAAAAATTTCACTCGTAGCGAAAGTGGGATAGGGACAAAGTTTGTCGGGGAGGACAGGGGACAGAAAATGACAAATTCGCCCCAAACTTGCCAGCAGATGATCAATAATTGCTTAACAGTTAGATTTCCCTTGATCTGAAACTTTCTGCTTCTAGACCATGGAAAAATAAATATTTTTACATTGCAGAATACATGGAAAAATTATTGATTAATTCTGGGATATTACATGACTAGACTATACACTAATAATAATTCACTATATCCCCTCCTATTCTCTAAATATCCTTTCATATATTATAATTATTCAATATAAATTCATGAATTTTATTCCTTCTACCAATTATAACATCATTAAAAAAATTGATATCCCAAAACTAAAGTAACAACTTCTCTTGGTACATGATACATATAGTGAAAGCAGTCCAAAGCAAAGTCATAATCACGTGACTAACTTGACTATAACAAGAGCGTAAGAGATGCAAAAATGACTTGTTTGACACTCCTACATAAAGTTTTTCTGTGATCGTTGGGCCGCTGAGGCATTTCCCAAAAGCACGTAATAACATAGTCCTAAATTGCGGTATCGGGTAACGTAACGGTATCGATCGCGGAATATCGGTATCGGACGTCGCGGCTGTGAAATTTCAAAAATCATTAGCAATCCCTCTAAAACTCAATTTTATGCATTTTTTTTTGACTCTTTTAACCTTAATTTATCACATTTTAATCAAAATTTTGATATATAGAGGCACTTTTGATTCATTTTCAACTAAATGATATGTATTTATTTTACTCTCAAGCTTTTATTTGGCATATATGTTAAAATTTTAATATAAAATTGATGTGGAAATATTTTTTTACTTATTTTCAACAATGAAATACTTCCACATGCACAACAAATTAACAAGAGAAAGAGGGACATGAAAATAAATCATTCGTTTCAGTCATTATCGCATATAAATATTTGAAGAATTATAAATATATATTAAAATATATCTCATTCCCATCCCATATCATAATATAAATAAAAAAATAATCACAAAAAAAGGAAAAAAGAAAAAAAAATTTATAAACAAACCAAACACAACTTGCAAGCAAAACCATGACTTCTTCAGCCAAAAGAAAAAAATAGAGCATTATAAATGCTCCTAATAAACAGAGCATGGGATGAGAATGTATCAGAGCTGTGTTAGAGCATGGGATGTGAATGTATCAGAGCTATATCAGAGCATGGGATTAGAAAAAATAGAGCATTATAAACAGAGCATTTTTGCAGGTGCTTTGCTCGTTTT